TGTCTAAGAAAGATGGGCTAAGCTGTCCTTTGGAGGTGCCCAGTTTTCTCCACTGACTGTGAAAGGAGTCTAGGTTAAACCAGGCACCTGAATTTTAGATGGTTGAAGTTAAGTGAGAGGAATCCCATCTCATGTGTTTACTTTATGAAAATGAGGTTTTGAACATCTGTATTGTCTTGATACAATAAAAGTACATGGAGAAAGTTGCAGATTCGTTTACATACCTAGTTCAGAAACTTTAACTTTTGCTCATATTCAGTCCTGTTAAAATTTTCATGTGCTCATTCCTGTTATGAGTCCAATTTTCATCTTATTTCTTATACAAAGTGCTGGAGTAGCTGAGTCCACAAAATCCGAAATATTTTGTTGAATTTTGAGTGTGATCTGTTCTGACTAAGGACTTAAGGTGAAAGTGATAAATAATGTGTACTGTAGTTGCAGTTGTAACGTGAAGGCTTGGAGAGTACCAAATCCCTAACTTATTTTGGCCTTTTGAATATTTAATTTCACATTAAAATCATGTTTATTACAATGAGTTTGCAAGTTTTATATTCCAATAGAGTAAGTACGCAGCTCACCAATACTGTGTAAGCTCTCAAGTAAGACCAGACCCTACATGAGTCTTTGAGTAGAGAAGCAGCTTCTATTTCACTTGTGGATGCATAAGTCTGAAATCTAATACTGTATGGAATACTGGTACAATAATCCGCACTAGTCCACTAAGGTGAAGTCTCTTTACTCAAGAATTTTTGGTCTATGGGTTATTAGTTTAAAATGGCAAGTATTTAATTCTCTAGAGCAGAACTAAAATAGGTCCTCCAAAATGATGGAAAATACAATCACATATGCACTATATAAGCCATGTATATACAGGCATGCAAACACACATACGATATTGGCAGTTGTGCTATTTTGGTAGAATAGGAAATTAAGAAAAAGCTGATAACACCATTTATCAGCTCAGAGCTACGGATAAATTTTCCACTGCAAACCTGAGATTACAGATGTTAGTAGGCACAAGTCTGTATGTTTATTTCACATTAATATTTACTATTTGTTACGGTTTTTGAATATATATACATAAAACAGCACATAAAACCATACAACTAGTCAGCATGCTTGACATTGTAAAGTTGGGACAACACATGCACCTGTCAGTCTTTTATGTTATCTTCTCTATTGTTCTTAATAAATTTTTTTCTGTGACTGAGAGCTACTCTATGACAAAAGGCAGTAGGGTTGTATCTTTCTTGATTTCAGATAAAATACTTTTTAAGTTCTCGATTCTCCAAATGTCTGTGCACCAGCATAACTGTATTTCAGTAGCATATTTTTAGTGAATGACTAGGTCTTTAATTAAAATTCTAGTTAAAAACAATAGTATATGAACAGATCCTAACCTACAGTTAAATTTATTAATTTCAATTATGAATTGAAATTCAGATTTGAAATAGTCATCTTGAGCCATGAAAAACGACTTCACAATTCCCCTGCTTTCAAATGTATCTTCTCAAATAGGCTTATAAATGCCATTTTCAACATTGTTTTCTACAAAAATATTGCAGTAATATATTATGTTACTGCCTAATCCAAGCCACCTGTACTGAGAGAACTTAACAGGTAAATAAATTTTTGTCGGAAAAACTGCTAAATATTTGAATGAGAAGAGGTTAAAACCTCTATGTTCTGAGACATAGACTGGTAGAGTATTTTTTCCATTGTAATATGTAACTCTGTAAATGCCAGAAGCATGGCTTGGCCATCTGTTCACTCCTGTAAATTTCAAATTATTTGGGACAAATCTGATTTATTAGCTGTCTGTAGGAACAACTACTGTGACATGGCTCTGACTATAAGCTGTATAATCCTATCATCCATAATCACGTAATGGTTATGATCATTGTCTTAAAAGGCAGAGTACAAGAAGAAAATAAATAACCATGTTTTAAAGATTTTCTAGGTTGCATATCATCCCAAAGAAATGGATTTTTATACTTAATAAGGACAATGAAATCAACCCTCTTTACGTAACCTTCATAAAAGTTCTTGTGAAGTAAGTTACTGTTTTATGAATAGGGAAAACTAGGAAAAAATGAGTAATTTGGTAAGAAGATGGCTGAGACTGGCAGGAATTCCCCATTACTCAGTCCTGGCCTCTTATCTCAGTTATTTTGTTTCTTCTGCATAAGGCTTGTAACATCAGGGGTGTTTTCAGTGCTTACAGGCTGTATTTGTGAATCCTGTCATTGGGATTGGACATAACTATATCTATCATTTCTGTAAAATATATCTGTAGCAGCTGTGCACACAAAGCTTATCCTCTTCCCCAAAAGTGAAAATGGAGGTGCAATATAATTCAAACATTAAGTCTTCTGGAAGATGCCTTTGTAGACCAGGAAACATTAATTCATATAGTATCAAATGGTATAAAAATATCTTTGTGAAAATATTTTATTTCTGTGATATATCAGTGTTGTATCGTTGCCAGCAGAGACTTGTATAACAATGTAAATGGCTTTTTAAGTGTTTGTTTCCATCCAGGGCTCTTTCAGCCCAGGAACTTCCCATTCTCATTGTTCCTTTGTTCTAGCGGATGTACAAAGCACTGAGTGTTTTGTTTTCTGGACCAGATAGATTAGATAAAGTCTGAATTTCTGAACTTCACCTTCTAGGCACGCAACTCTTTTCTTTGCTAATGCACCTTAGAAGACAGATTACCCAGGACAGTATAAGCGCTTCTAAAAATGAAGGAGGTGTCTTCTTTTGCAGAGTTTGGCAAATAATGCCGATTACAATGTTGATTACTTTTGCAGGACTAACAAGCAGTCAACCTTATCCTGACTTTGTCAGAGAGAGAGTTAATCTTCTTCACAGTTATCATGACTGTTCTCCTGGTATCAGTCAAATTAAAACTTTTTCAGCTGGCTGTGCATCTGACCATATATAGTGCTAGTTTATTTCTCACTCCCAAAGTTTGACCTTTCTGATTAGAACAATTGCCTTCAAGGAACAAGATTATACCCCCACTATTCACTTTTGCCAACATAATAGTCTTTAGTGGCTTAGTATATGTTATAGGTGGAGCTGGTAGTCAAGCCTATTGTTAAGATTTCCTGACACTTTTCATTAAAACCTCCTGTTTCAATTGCTGTAACTGGGTGAAGTTTTAACTATTTGGCCTGAAGTTTGATGTGCTTGGTCTTCGACTTGAGTTTTAATTTTTTTATTGGTTTTTTTTTCAGATTTAAGCAGAGTTAGTTTGGCCTTTAAGAAAGAGGTCAAGAAAAGAAGATAGTTATTTTTATTTATTGATTTTGTTAATTTAATTTTCATCTCTTTTTCTGAAGAGCACTAGCATCTCTGTGGTCCAAAGCAAGAAAATGTGAATTTAAGCAGAGACCTGGGTTCAAAGGGATACAGTATTTTTCACAGAATCGCAGAATGGTGGAGGTTGGAAGGGACCTCTGGTCCAAGCCCCCTGCTCAAGCAGGACTGCCTAGAGCCGGTTGCCCAGGACCACGTCCAGACAGCTTTTGAATGTCTCCAAGGGGGGAGATACTCCGTTGAAATTCCTGATATACTTGATTGACAGTGAATACCACCAAAACCTGGCACCAGTATGTTCTCAGCAGCGCTTTGTAAGGAGCGTTTAAACCCTCTCCCTGTGCCATCCAGGCTTTGAAGAAAAAACAGCTTAAAGGCTACTAGCCCCATGACCCCTACCACTGTATTTGTAGGGTGGGTATAGGTTCGACTTCGTCCTTTCAGCCTTTACAGTGCAGTTTTTCATTATGTGATCTCACACTCTTTTGTCTGCCTTGTTCAGGGAACCAGGCAGCGATGACTGCGTTGGGAAAACTGCCTTATTTTTCTGTGTTTAATACCACTGTTCATGTGGTTGATGTTCTTATGTTCAGTTCCCAGGCTGGGTACACCACACACTCCCTGTCTGATGCAAGGCAAGAGTAGCACAGCATGTAGTCATGTGGAAGCCAAGTTTAGTTGTTAAATTGTTGGGAAACCTTTATTATTTAACTCCTGAACTTGTGAATGCTTGATTTTGCTGCTTTGGGTTGTTTTACGATACCTTTTTAATATGCAATTCCTTAACCTTATTGGGAGACATAAATGTCAATACCTTAGTACATCAGCATGTAATACATTTCTTTTGATTTGCACGAAGTCTTGTGAGTGATGAAATACACCTGGAGAATAGAAGCAACCAGAGTCTTTTGTTTTGGCCAATGTTTGCCATCCCTTTAGAGTGTATCAGATTTTACAGGTGATTTTACTTGAGAGCTCCTTAATAAATAACATAATGAATTTTGAGAGTTTCTCAGAGAAATAGCTCCAGTTAAATATAGTTCCTAAAAGTTTATCCAATGTACTGTTTGGGTTTTTTTACATTTATATGAACAATACTACAGCAGAGCAGAAGCATGTTCTATTGGAATCTATTTGAAGTGGTTGAAGTTAATATTAAAATCAAAGGATTGTTGCCCTTAAAATTGTATAGATGCTCATGCCCATTAGTGATAAAGTGTTTAGCTTGAGTGCTAGGAAATTAAAGCCTCTGGTGTCATTCTATCTATAAAGCTACATTCCATTGAGGCATTGAGTGTAATTTGCTGGGTATTCATGTTTTCTGTTTCTTATTAAAGTTGTTACAGTTTTACTATCAGCAGATTTCCAAGCTTGTTATATACATCCACAACTGGAGGTGTTCTTCTATGTGTGTGTGTGTGTGTGAATGAGTGTGTACACATACACACAAGCAACATTTCTGAATTCTGCAGGACACTCTTGTAGACAGGTTGCAGCGATGTGATGTTTATAGAAGGAAAGAAAAAGACTTTTTGAAAAGCATTGGCAGCATGATAATGATAGAGGGAGAGTTTTGGAAGGTTTGTTGTACTGCTGTGTAAAACTTCAGGCAATCCCAATGCAAAAAATACCAGTTTATGTTTTCTGTTGGATTTTTTTTTTTTTTTTAACTACAGATCCCTTACCACCACCTCGTTTTGAAATCAATAAGGAAAAAACTACACTCACAAGCTTGCAGGTTCAGTGGGATCCTTCCTCAGGAAAGGTGGACTTTTATAATCTAGTATTATTTGATCACAATAATAAAAAGATACGAGAAGTCTCTGTACCAGGAAGAATTTCAAAAACAGAAAATACTTTTTCCAGTCTCATTCCTGGGAATAAATACAACATTGTCCTCAGTGCAGTTGCTGGAAATAAGAGTACCCTGGAACTTCACATAAGTGGATCTACTGGTAGGTCTTCTTTTACTGTAGTTCATCTAAATGCAACCACTTACAGTGTTTTGCAGTTCTGCATTTTGAAATCAACAAATATTCTTAATTATTCTTCCTGGCAGGAGATATATATATATGTATGTATCCATTGATTATAAGTAGAAATAAACAAAACATGAATCTGTGACTAACATAAGGAGTTGGTTGCTAAGGGTGGAGGCATGTTGTTATGGTGTATTTGGACATAAATTTGGGATTGGGTTTTCACTAACCTTAAAGAAACTCAACATAGTTCAAAAGCAAATCTGTTCAAAATTGCCAAAATTGTGGAGATAACCGTTAGGCCTTAAGCATGTGTTTTTTATTCCAACAGTTCCATCCCCTGTGAAAAATATTCAGGTCAGTGTTGAGACAGACACTATCCATGCTTCATGGTCTCCTGGCTCTGGGCACGTGGATCGTTACAGGCTGGTGTTACTGGATAATCATGTCCCAGTTCATGAGATTCACCAAGAAGATCCTCTGACTTCCTACACTTTTTCAGGACTTACAGCGGGCCACCTGTATAACCTCTCTATCATAACCCAGGCTGCAGGATTGGAGAGCAGCAGTTTTCAAACAGTCAGGACAGGTATGATTTCAGTATTCAGCACAACAGAACAAGAAGCTAAGGCCATAATCTAATAATTTTACAGGGCATATTTCAGAATAATAAATGATTCATGTTCCAAGTGTATATTCCCAGACTTCAGTGGCTGAATTACCCTTGGCAGGTGTTTCTCTCCAAAGGCTATAGAGGGAGGGAGAAACGCCACAGGCTTGTTTGGCTCCCTAAGTTAGCATGGCAGCAAAGTCAGCAGCTAACTTAGCTGCACTGCTTAATGTAGGCAGCTCCATTAAACATGTAAAGTTCTGTGTTAACTATCTGAGCCCAAGTGCCCTGGTATCACCTCATATCTGTGAAAGAGGTTCATGTGACTCCTGTTTGAACTTCTCAGTGAATTGAGGCAGTGTGTAGTCTGGTTATTTCACAGTACTGAAGGCAGTTTAACTCCATGATTCTTACTTAGCTGAATGGAGAATGTAGGGGTTGTGAGTTTTGCAAAAATATATTTTCTGTGACTTTTTTTCTCTGGATTGCAAAATAGCTGCACTTCTGAAAAGGAAGTGAAAACAAATGTAGAGCAGGTTAAGAACTTTAAAATTGAATGTTGGGGTTTCTTTTTCACAGAGAAGTATTTATTCACAGAACCAGAGTTTTAGAAATGAAGATTTTTTTTCAGGAAGGTTTTTCAGAATAGAGTTCTGTTGTCATAGCGAGAAAAATAAGATCACGTCCTGCTAGAGTCCAATGTTTAAAACACTCATGTAAGCAAAACCAGGCTCATGCCTTTGCTTTCCTTAATTTCTGGGAAACGTAAGGTGCAGTTTCTCCTACAGAAATCTCACCATGTAAATATAAGTTAATATTAAGTGAACAATATTGTGACGTCTAGGGCATATAGATGAGTGCTGTTGTCACCTAGCACTGGCTGTTCTGGGGGTTATACTCTTGTTTCATTTTATTTCTTAATAATTTTTTTATTTCTTCCTGTTGTGGGGTGCAAAAATTTTAAATCTCATGAGTTTTCTGGGAACATAAACACAGTCCATCTAGCTTGCAGCACAGTCCTCCGTTTCAGTACCTAGTGTGCCCCAGGCCTGAGAAATGAAGACATTGGAGGTGGCTATGCCTTTCTTTTGGTGGGGCATTTGAATACAGGAGTTTGATTCCAATCCCTTCTACACTGGTGTAAATGTGGTATAGCTCCAGTGATGCTGTAGTGTTCACTCTACCGAAATCTATGCAGGCATCTCTGTTCTTAGGAGCATGTGCCTCGTCTGTTTTATAGTCAGAGCAACTAGTGTGAGTGCAGACATAGCTAACAGATTTTCTATTCCATGAAACAAGAGTGGGCATCATAAGAGGTGTCACTCTCAGCAACAAAATATTTTAAACAGGGCTGGGTTTAGTTTCACTGTGACCAGACTTTGCCCTTTCACTGTTCAGGCACAATCATGCATACTCCATCTCACATAACTATTCAAAAGCAAAATTTAACTATCGCAGTTTGGAGGCAGCAGGTCCAAATATGTTCCGTGCTCGAAGTATTTTATTCTCCTATTTTCTTTTTTTAGCCCCAGCTGAAGTCTTAGATTTGATGGTGACTAACGATGACAGCTTAGATGCTCTAAAAGTTAAGTGGAGAAGACCTTCAGGAAACCTCAATTTCTATAATATCACCCTGTCTCATCTTGGATCAGTTAAAGAAGTCAAAACTCTACAGCCACCGGTCACAGAGACTCACTTTGACAAGCTAACTCCAGGACGTCTTTATCAGGTTACTGCCCGCACAATCAGTGGTGAACTGTTTACTGATCGGATGGCAACTGGCAGAACGTGTAAGTCTTCTGCTTCAGTAAGAACACCAATGCTATTTTGCCTACATTGGCCTTGTAGAAAATCATTGTAGGAGACAAAATTATCTGGATTCCAGGCGAAATAAGATAAAAGAGCACAATATTGTTCCAGGAGTACCCCTTCCTGACTCCCTGACAACAGTTAATCTGGAAGCCAAAAGCAGCTTCAGCATAGCTTGGGAGCAGGAAACAATAATGCATTTTGGACCTTAGAGTTGGGTGAGTCTGTTACAAAACTGTTCCACAGTACTACACTTCTGACCAACTGTGTTATCTTGAATTCAACTCAGCATAGTGTATAAAATAAGTTACATTATGGGGAAGTCTGCATGCAGTCAAATTGTTAACAGATTTTTAAGTCATTTTGTAAGGTCTACTATTATCCCTTGCTCCAGGCACATATCTACAATAGGAAAAGATTAGGTCTCAGCTTTCTTTACTACCAACAGCATGGATTAAGAAGGGCATGTGGCAGCCTGGGTAGAGCTGGGTTATGTATTTTTAGTCTGAAAACTGCTAAGATGCATCTGAGAAGTGCATGGGGGAGATTTTGCCTGCCCTAAGCAGGGTTCCCCATTTCTCATGCCAGAAAATAACACTGAAAAAGTGAGTGGTTTGTGTGGGGAAGAGTAAAAATTACCTTTAAAATCAATGCCAGCCTTTGTGATAAGATACCTCACGTTGCTCTAACTCATCCAAGTACTTCTACAATAGCTATGCTGCGAGGCAGGTCTTGCCAGTCTGCAGTTACATCTTACCAGAAATAACCCCACTTCAAAATTACCCTCTCCATCTCTGTGTTTCAGTTCCCCAGAAAGTTTCTGAGCTGAAAGCCGGTGGTGGTGGCTGGCTGAGGTCCCTGCGAGTCACCTGGCTGCCCCCTGCAGGAGACTGGGAGAGGTACCGCCTGCTCCTGTGGAACCTCTCAGCCCTGGTGCTCAACACCACCCTCGAGAAGGACACGACGGAATACCTCATCCACGACGTGGGCCTCATCCCAGGGAGGCAGTACGATGTGGACGTCATTGTGGAGAGTGGCAATTTGCAGAGCAAAACTAGCTGCACAGGGAGAACAGGTCAGCGTGCTGGTCCGGGAAGCGTGAAAGTGCAAAATGTTCAGCTGGGTTCCGTGGACAATCAGAAAGAAATAGTACTTGGGAATCCACAGATGAATTTCACTATTGATACAGTATGAAGGAGCTCCCTTGTGAAAAACAGAAATAATTATTTTTAGCAATTCTATGAAAACTTTCAGGGTTATTTTTGTGGCACATGTATTGTTAGTGAAAGTTTTGGGAATTATATCACCGTTCTGTCATGACTGAGGCATAACACTATATGTATAACATTTTACAGTTACATTTTATAGCTGATTGCAGACACCCTATATAGTGCTTTAAAGAGAGCAATATAGGTTTTCCTGTATTGTTCATCAGTGTGTTCAGTGGCAAACTGGTTTACTTGGCAGCTTGTATAACTAGTTAGTATCAATAGTGTTAACCAAAACTAGCTGAGGTATATGTTAGTGTGGCTGTTCCATAATGTCTCAATTCTTGTTCCTGTGCTCCAGAAATAAAATGGGGTTAGCCAGTTCAAGTCAGCCTTTCCAAAGGAAATCCATAAAGACTGCAGTGACATTACTGGAATTCTTTTGGAGCTTGCTAGTCAAAGCCACATCCGATTGCTTCAAACTTAAAAAATAGTTGCAATATAATTGTTAATGGTTCTGCTCTGTGAATGCAAAATAAGTGCAATTCAGAGGAGAAGATGACTTGGAGGAGGAGTTTTAGGTAAGGCTCAAGCCTGAGCCTTATCTCACAGGAGAATGTGAGATACGATAGGGCCAGCTGACTTTATCCTCACACTTCCTGGTGCCCACCTTTCCTGCTACACCCTTACCTGTCATTCCCTGAGGGCTTCATTTTGTTGATTTTGCACAATGGCAAGACCAGTAGATGCTACAGAACTGAAGCTTTCTCTAACTTTTAGCCAACTTGATCAGAGGAAGGCAGATTCTTATCTTGCTTACTTTGATACACGTTACAAGTAATTTAAGTTTATGGTGTTACTTTTAATTGACAAAGCTAAGTGATTAGAACATAGTCCAATTAACAATATCCATCAGTGGGTGTATCACAACTGTATTTGACCCACAGCCAGGTACATAATGTACCTGTTATGAAGCATAGGTATTAGGCCCTGTTCTGACTTAATTTTCTCCTACGTAAACCCACAGTCTTGGAAAATTAGTTGTATTTCAGAGTAACAGGGACAAAATCAGGTCAAGGGACTACGTTAGGTAACAGATGCCCTCTGTGTGCATGCATGCACAATGAACACACACAGAAGCTCACTGATAGAATTATTTTTTTATACCACTGTGTCTTCCAGCTTCACTTAGATATGAACCAGCGCAAAATCAAAATTCTGTGATTCTGTGAAAATCAATGTCACTCTGACCCTATATGCATCCTTGTTTTTTCCAGCTAAATTGGAGTAGATCTATTTTATGGTACAAATGTTTTGTATCCCTGTCCAGCACCCACAGTTCAAGAGGAGGCTCACTGATTTCACTGCATTTCCATTCGTTGTGAACGGTTCTGCTCTGTGAATGCAAAATTCCCCCACAATATCCTTCTCTAAATTGGAGAGATATGGATTTGATGGGTGGACTGTTCGGTGGATGAGGAATTGGTTGGATGTTTGTACCCAGAGGGTAGTGGTCAACAGCTCTATGTCCAGCTGGAGACCAGTGACAAATGGTGTCCCTCAGTCTGTACTGGGACCAGTGCTCTTTAATATCTTCATCAATGACATAGGCAGTGAGATAGAGTGCACCCTCAGCAAGTTTGCAGATGACACCAAGCTGAGTGGTGCAGCTGACACGCCTGAGGGACGGGATGCCATCCAGAGGGACCTGGACAAGCTCAAGGAATGGAGCTCATGAGGTTCACAAGGCCCAAGTGCGGGGTTCTGCAACTGGGGTCAAGGCAACCCCCGGGATCAGTACAGGCTGGGCGATGAAGGGATCAGGTGCAGCCCTGCTGACAAGGACTTGGGGGTGCTGGTGGACAAAAAGCTGGACATGAGCCAGCAATGTGTTCTCACAGCCCAGAAGGCCAACCGTATCCTGGGCTGCATCAAAAGGAGCGTGGCCAGCAGTTTGAGGGAGGGGATCCTGCCCCTCTGCTCTGCTCTGGTGAGACCCCACCTGCAGTCCTGCATCCAGCTCTGGAGCCCTCAGCACAGAAAGGACATGTACCTGTTGGAGCGCGTCCAGAGGAGGGCCACAAAAATGATCAGAGGGATGGAACACCTCTCCTAGGAGGACAGGTTGAGAGAGTTGGGGTTGTTCAGCCTGGAGAAGAGAAAGCTGTGGGGAGACCTTCTTGCAGCCTTCCACTACATTAAGGGGGCCTATAAGAAAGATGGGGACAGAATTTTTCGCAGGGCCTGTAGCAATAGCTCAAGGGGTAATGGTTTTAAACTAAAAGAGGGCAGATTTAGACTAGATCTAAGGAACAAATTTTTCACAATGAGGGTGGTAAAACACTGGAAAAGGTTGCCCAGAGAGGTGGTAGATGCCCCATTGCTGGAAACATTCCAGGTCAGGTTGGATGGGGCTCTGAGCAACCTGATCTAGTTGATGATGTCCCTGTTGATTGCAGGGGGTCAGACTAGATGACCTTTAAAGGTCCCTTCCAACCCAAACTATTCTATGATTCTATGATTCATACTAAAATGTACATCCTGGCATAAGTTTAAACCTAAGCGTTACAGCCATAATGCATTGCTGAAGTCTGCTGCCACAGCTCTTTACTGGAAAAGTAGCACAAATGCTAGATTTGTAAGATTGGCTTCCTGGAGAAACGTAAAGAATCTCCTCTTGATTATAAATACTCTGTTGCTGTCACATTTCTGTCTTATAGAACAGGTTCCTTACAGCAGCTTGAGATATGACGTGTGTGTTCACTACAAAGTCCTGTTCTTATTGTGATATTTGTGTACCTTTACAGCTCCAGAGCCTGTTCTCCAACTCCGTGTGAAGCATGCTAATGAATCTTCACTTAGTGTCATGTGGATGACCCCAGCTGCGGAATGGGACAGCTATGTGGTTTCACTGGGAGACAGGGATCTTACTGTCATAAAAAAAGGGCTTGCAAAAGAAGCTAAGGAATTCACTTTCACAGAGTTGGTACCTGGAAGAAAATATACAGCTACCATCACTACCATTAGTGGGATTTTAAGCAACTGGACTTCAGTGGAAGGAAGAACAGGTATCATCCTGTCAAACTGTTTTGATCTTTACTTCTGTTAAGCATTAACAACTTTATTTGCTTTGTAGTGAACTGAATGAACTCAGTGTCTAAATATCAAGAGACTTGAATTTACATTTGTTTCTTCAATAGAAAAGTTATGTTTCTGAGTCTCTTATTTCTGATTGTCAGTTATCTTGCAGTATTTATTTAAGATTTTGGGGAAATGGATAGGTAATGCTAAGCAAAACAGTTTTCTAAAATATTAGGTCACTTCTGATCAATCTATATTAGCACAAGATTCCATATAAGAAGAACAATTTTCATGGGGTGTCTTCAGGAAGGTCACTTCCTTGATTCAAAGCATTCATCATCTGGAAAAAAAAAAACACCACCACACAGGAAAATGTTGCTTTAGGGGGAACATTCCAGGGTTGACAGACACAAAACATATGTGACCTTGAAACTGTATTTTGAATCTCTTTGCTTTTCTGATTCAAAAATCTGTATCTGTTACTTAGGATGATGACTGTGACACAAGGAAGGTCCCATTCCCACCCCCTGCAGAGTGCTAATCTTGTGCACGTGTACAAGTTAAACCATATGAGTTGCTTTACTCTGCTTGACTTATGCATTCTCCAGTGCAAGCAAAATCTTAAAATGTAGCTCTGGTCTGGCACAGCACAGGGAAAAACAAGCTGCTAGTGTATGAATCTAATCATGCCTATGACTTGATAGTGGTCCTTGCTAAAGTGTTGTAACTCCTTCCAAGGCCTGAAACATTTGACTGACAATTTCATTTCTTTGCTATGTGATTAGATAGCGGGATTTCACTTCCTTCTGCCTTACACCCCTTTAGGAGGCCTATTCAGGCATAAAGGTTACAGTGTCCCACTTCACTAGTAGGAACCAATGCTTGAAAACACATCAGAAAGGGATAGTGCGTCAGCATTACATTCAAAGTGATAAAGAATGAACATCAGTGAATTTGAACATAGGTCTTAATAAGCATTCCAGACCTCCGAGTCTTCTTTTCAGTGGGACAATCTACTGGGCTTGCAAAATATTGCTGTAAATATGATAAAAATACATCTTAAATGCTTCCAAGATTGGTCAGCTTCCAGGGAAGCCTGAGATGTCACTGAAAGTGCCGTTAGCATAGAAATCGTTCTTGTTGGACCTTGCTATGTTACGACAGTATTGTAAAACAGATGGGATTTTTGATTCAGTTTTACAGGAATGTTACATTTTTTTCAGCTATGTGCCTAATTTTCTAGCTTTTGTTAATGATTGCTAATCCAATACTAAGTGTGCAAAAAGGTTGATACAAAACAAGAGATGAAGCTTACAGTCACATTTTGTAAAGTTAAACAGTTCTTTATTTGGTCATGTAAGCAGAAATACTTAGAAAGAAGTAACTGTATTTCCTTGCTTTGGCCAAATACTGTCAAATTGAAAAAAAAAGTGGGTAAAATTTGTTCTAGATATTCCATTCCTTTCTGTTCTTTCTTTTTCCTTTTTGGTCTGGCTAAGTTCACCAGCTTGTACTTAGATAAATGTCATGTTAGTTTAACAATTAATTCATGTTTGGATGCTAGAAAAGTTAGTAACCTGCAGATCTTCTGATGTAAAAAGTAAAACCAAAACCATCCATCTCAGTTATGCCCAAAATTAAAGGGTCTGACACTTCTCTGAGGTATAGATGACTGTGCCTGAGGTATTCATCAAACTAGTTTGCGATTTAATATGGGTGAGAAATAGAGAATAGGAGAGGAAAGGGAGAATGAAAGACACAGACTGTATTTGAAATAGTCATCACAAAACCAAGTGATTTCCTAAATTGATGGCTTTTGTTTAACAGTATTTATAAAATGTCATCTCTTCCCATTCACTGATCTTGAATCATTTTGGTCTGACTGAGAAAAGCTGTGCTAAAGCCTGCAAGACCTTTCTGTGCCTTAGATAGTTTCCCATAGACCACATCCCATCAGACAGGAAGCAGTCCACAGTTGGATTATTTTTAGTCCTGTTGAGTCTGGCTGCAAATTGGAATGTTCTTTTGATGCACTTCCTCAGTGTGACTAAAGTCGTGTTATTTGGGGAATTTTGTTTTGTTTTATTTTGTTTCTCCTCAGTAACATTATGACAATTTTTTTTTGCAGTGCCAGCCCAAGTGACTGGTCTGACTGTGGCAAGTCAGGGATCAACCAACAGCTTGTTCACCAACTGGACAAGAGCACTGGGAGATGTAGACTCGTACCAGGTGCTACTGATTCACGAGAATGTTGTCATTAAAAATGAGACTGTTCCCAGTGAAACCAACAGATACCATTTCTATCCCCTGAAACCTGGAGGACTTTATTCTGTTGTTGTCACCACTGTCAGCGGGGGGATATCTTCAAGGCAAACGATCGCAGAGGGGAGGACAGGTAAAAAGGAAAAAACTCCAGCATGTCTTTTTTCAGTTCCTAAAAGCTGAACTTGTTGAACGAAATGGTCTTGTGATTAAGCCACTGGACTGAGACTTCAGAAATACAGGAGTTTCAGACATATAATTCCTGTGTGTGGCCTCAGGTGCACTGTGGGTCCAAAGTCCTGTTAACGTAGCTTCAGGGAGCTAACTGCTCTGCGTACAGCAGGAGCTCTGTACAGCAGGATCACTCTGTAGTGAACACAAAAATATGCCCTGAGAGCGATGTACAGCTGTCGTGGGTGAATCACTCCTTGGAAGGAACTTTCTTGTTCCATTGACTAGATGGCAGCATACGGTGATTGCTCCTTACTTAGGTGTGCAAATTAGCTGCCTAAAGGTGGTGGGATGAATTTGTGTCTCAGTCTCTCATGACCCATTCTTTTTTTCCAATCCAACATTAAAGAATGTCCGCCAGGGTAAATTACTTGTTATGAGGCCCTTCTATACTGCATAGGACAGGATTTACTACTGCATCAAACTCTGTAATTTAATGACTCATGAAATGTAATGCCAGTCCTTTGGATATTTAAATAGAGGTAAAAAGTTGACAACACAGTGCAGTTTCACCCTTTATGTGAATTTGGCAAAGGCCAGGCATTCTGCAGTTTCCTCTGATGTTCTTGAAAACAACTATTTTCAGGTAAAAAAAAAAAAGAAAGACAATTGGAGAAGAATAACACTAAAAGGCTTAAAGTACTTAGGCATATTTTGTAAAATCTTCTAATATTTTTGACTCTGACAGCTGATGGGCATCCCCTCTACTGAGGTAAGTCCCTTCAGTGCATCATAGTCCAGTAAAAATGTGGCAGTTCATTATGATTAAGGTCTGCCCCTGTAATAACTGATAATTTTGTACCCGAGTGATGGTAGTTCTGGCAATGTGGAGCCTTTGAGCTCGCCTTGCTGGCTTGAAAAACAAATTACATTCATCTTTTGGCCACTAGGCGTCAGAGAACTCATTGTAAATGAAACACATTCTGCTACAGGCCCCAACTTCATACAAGCCTGAGTAGTTACTGCTATTACTGATGAATGGCAATTTGAGGGGATAACTCATCTTCTGGGATTTTAGAAGTGCTGGAATTGTGCCACCAAAGACAATTTCCTTCCAAAAAGCGGATGAGTGCTACTGAGTGGGAGTCAGTGCAGAGCTGCTCAGGAGTCCCACACTGCTTATTTTCCAGGCATTCTCACAACAATAGGAATTGGCTAGTTAAAGCTCTTCTGTTTTTTCCTCTTTGTTGCACAGTTCCTTCCAGTGTTACTGGAGTAACAGTAAATAACTCAGGTCGAAGTGACTACCTCAGTGTTTCTTGGCTGCCAGCTTCTGGAGATGTAGACAGTTATTCGGTAACACTCTCTCACGATGGCCAGATTGTTCAGACTCTCACCGTTTCCAAATCCTTCAGTGAATGCTCCTTCAGCAGCCTTACTCCAGGCACACTTTACAATGTGATGATAACCACGAAGAGTGGGAAGTATGAAAATTATTCCTTCAGCCAGGAACGAACAGGTAAAAGAGCCTCTGAGCACGTGCAGTCGCCATAACCACTTTATATAGCCATTATCAATGATCTATCAATATCTGACCGAACTGGGATGGGTGAGTAGGGGTTGGAGGGTCAAACCATAAAATTACAACTTTACAGACTTAGTCTTAGTCGTATGCCCCTACTGCTGCTTTATGTTATACAAAATTACTTTAGCATGAATAGAAGTGAGGTGTCAGCTCCTGTGAGCGAGCAGAAATCATGTATCAGTTTTGGCTCAAGTGCATTTTCCTGCCCTTAATCCCTCTACTTGGCTCTTCAAGTGTATCCTGCAGACCATCCCCGCAAAAAGTTACTCAAACACTGAAAGAACAGGATAGGAGCTGACTACTGAAATGTTAATAAGGTGTCACATAAATGAGTAACACCCATGTCTTGTTTTTGGTCATGTAACACCTATGTCTATGGTTTTGGTCATGCAGTGTTCAAGGAGGTTATAACAGGAATAGAGAAATTTTATGAAGGATTGCAGTAGTGATGGAAAACTTTTTAAAATTCCTCGAAGATTGAAAGGACCAAGACTTTACACTTGGTAAAGCAGTAGAATAAAAGAAAGATGGTAAGGTGTGTTAAAATGATAAAGAGTATCAAGTTAGTGCAATTTTAGTCTTCTCATGATGTAAGTGAAAATCCAAGGGATAGCCATTCAAATGAGAAGCAAATTCAGGACTAGTGTGAACCCATGGAACTCACTGCTATAAGCAAAACTGCCCAAGTTCCAAAAGATCAAAAATTGGAAAGGCAAACTATTGTCATACGATGTAAAGCAGCCTGGAAACTGCAGAGTTACTCTTTTAGAGGGCAGGGCATTGCTTAACTCCACGTTGTGGTCTTTTTGCAACTTCCTCAGAAAAGTCTGGTAATAACCACAAATATACTCCACTACAGCAACTCCTGTGACTTCAGGAAATTATTGCTTTCTGAATCTTTAATTCTGGATTTTTTTTCAGTCCCTTCAAGTGTTCAGGGACTTACTGTCAGCAATTCAGCCAGAAGTGACTACTTGAAGGTGTCCTGGTTACATGCCTCCGGATATTTTGATAATTATGAAGTGATCATCAAGAACAACAATGATTTCATCCAAACAAAAAGTGTCCCAAAGGATGAAAATGAATGTGTGTTCACTAATCTGGTTCCAGGGAGGCAGTACAGTGTCACAGTCAGCACAAGGAGTGGGAAATACGAAACTAGTGAAAGGGTCTATGGGAGAACAAGTAAGTAAATACCCCAGAAACATCCTGAGACACTCCAAGATTTTCTTCTATTTACCATACCTGGGCTGAAAAATCTCATATGATTTTGACATAGGATGTTGAGTGTGACTCTTTGAATGTGTGTGGTTCCAAATATGGAAAGCAGTATTTAGTTTTTGACCAATGTTTAAGTTACAGACATACAGAAAGTGAGAGACCTGTGCTTGAAACATGGAAAACTTGAAAACAGTTGTACATATTTCCACATAAGCTTAGTATTTATGCTTAAACTATGCCAGAGTGTACAAGACGTTTTTTTCTGGTCATGGAAATGTATAAGGAAGAAGGTAGGCTACACCTCACCCTATTTAAATTACCCCAAGAACTGGAGTTGGAAAGCATGGGGCAAGAGTGGTAAGGTGGCTCGTTATAAGCCAGCAGGGATCTGGATGCAGTCACCTAGCACTACATGTAAGCTAATGATCTGTGCTAAGAAACCAAGTTTATTAACACAGATGTAGCACTGGGCAAAAATAACTGACCTGCATTTGGCAGGAGTTGGGAACTGTGCAGTGTGGTGCTGGATCACATAGATGGCTTGCCTTGGGTCTCCACTAGCTCATGCCTTTGCACCACATTTGTTGTACATGCAGATCCTATTCAATTTTTGTTGGCTATGCAAAATCTGTGCAGGCTCCATTATTATTTTTTATTTTTATGCTGATAGATGGTGTACTCCCTGTTCTGAAATGAGACTTTCCCGTGCTAGGTATGGTGCAAACCACAAACAGCAACTCTTGCAAATAAGTGCAATCTGCTGCTTTTCCTAGGGGACTGAATGAAAAGTTTTAGCTGGGGACCATGGCCTTGGCTGTTATCTTTTTTCTGTGACCGGTAATAAGTCCTCAGAAGTTTCCTTTATCTTTCTTCTCACCTCTTCAGTGCCAGAGTCAGTGAAGGAACTGACTCTTAGTAACAGAAGCACAGAAGATCTGCAGGTAACTTGGTCAAAGGCTGAGGGGGATGTTGATAAATACGAGATTCAGCTCCTCTTCAATGATATGAAGATTTTCCCACCCATTTTCCTTGGAAACACCATTGAGGAGTATTGGTTCACGGCTCTGACTCCAGGACGTCTGTACAAAATTCTTGTCTTGACAATCAGTGGAGATGCACAACGTGCTACTTTCATAGAAGGCTTGACAAGTAAGAAATAATGTGGTATTTAAAATGTGTTGAGGCTCCTCTAGAGGAAAGAATGAGGCACAAAAAATCAAGAGAGAACCATGATCTTATCTGAGCTCCTGTAACACTGGCACAAAGACAGCAGATCTCATTGAAACTCACAGTAGTACTTCAGCCAATTTGATCTGTGCTTAATAAATAAATGTCACAGGCACCAATATTTTGCTTATTGGCAGATATTTTTATTTCTTTCATAGGAATGGTATTGAGATGTCAGTGTTTGGGTTTCTGTTATTCTCATGCATGCCAGTTGTTTGCTTAGTATCTCTAGCTAAATCACTTAAGCTATTTTACGCCTCTGTTTACCCACCTGAAATGACTGGGTGAGGTTATAACTGCAAAATGCCTAAGTAAGTGTACATAAAGAACTTTGATTTTCTGAGATGTTTCTAAAGTGTCATTCGGAGAAGAGGGAGGTTATCCAGATAAAAGAACTGCAAACTTTTTTCTGTTTAACTTAACTTACATTTCCTTTACTTTTCTTCCTGTAAACACATGGAATTGCTTTTCTAAAATGGCACAATCGTACACAAATGCCTTCAGCTTTACTTGTGTTTACCTATGAGTGAGATTACTTGTACCTGCAAATGCTCTTTGTCCTTTGACTCATTTGCGGTGGCCATAAAAAAGTAGGAGTTAAAAAGTCTGAATCAAAAAGGAAATTTGTAAGCAGGTGCCTATGTGTTCCTTTTTTTTTCCAGTTCCAAGTGCAGTCAGAAACATTCATGTGTCACCTAAAGGCATGACAAACAGCCTGAAAGTCAGCTGGACTCCTGGAGGTGGAGATGTTGATTCCTACACAGTGACTATATTTCAGCAAAACCATCAGCTTGATTCCCAAAGTGTCTCCAAACACATCTCTGAGCACGTGTTTCACAAGTTGGAAGCTGGGGAGCAGTACCGCGTGGTGGTGCAATCTAACAGTGGTACATTGCACAACAGCTTAGCAACTTTGGGGAGAACAAGTATGTTTCTTTTGAGACAAGGAGCAAATTGCATTATCTCTTCCCAGAAGCTTACCCTTATTTAATAATGTTTACGAACGTACCATCGGGTATGGGCAGACCCCGAGTCATGAGAAGTTTTTATCTCAAAGAGCATGAGTCCTCACTCTTGCAAACGCTTAGGCATGGCTCTGTTAATACCAGTGAGATCTGTCACATGAGTGGAATTCAGGTCCACAGCCCAAAGTGTGCCTTTATGGGTTCCATGCAGTTCCAGCCCTCCCCAGTCCTGTGCCTGTACCCATCCGACACATCCATCTGCAGGCCTCCATGGAGTCAAATACTGTGTTCTAGCAGAGCCCATTGCATGGTCAAGGCTTGTTAGACAATGTATTGCCCCAATATACTGTGTGTCAGGACACACAAACAGTAGAACACCTTGTTTTTTAATCCATTCTCTCTCTTTAACACCTGCATGTGTTTGCTGTGGCCTTGACTTTTGTGCAACACCTGCTGGCTAACATTTTCTATTCTGTGCCACTATCTTGCACCAATTTACCACTTTGTTTTTTTTCCATTCTTTTTCACATGCCTTTCTTAACTGTTTTGGTCAGTTCATCTCACTCTCCTTCTCCCTCTTTCCATGAAAATTTATGTATACCTTTTTCTTCTCCGTGCCCAGTTCAGATGTCCATGAGGCTCTGTAACTTTTTCTGATTGTATTTGTCTAGGAGTTATTTGCTTGTGCAAACACATGGGCAGATACCTCTTTTTCCACAAATGAACATGCAAGTGTATAAAGATATTCCCTATTAATTACTCTATTCACAGTCATATATTGAATGGTCCGTATTTCACCTGGTAATGTCCTGACTTTAATTGTTGCTTTCAGTTCCAGCTTCTGTCCAGGAATTATTAGCCCATCATGCTTACAGCAGTCATTCCTTGTTAGTAAGCTGGCAGAAAGCTCCTGGTGTAGCTGAAAGATATGACATTCTGCTCTTGAATGAGCAAGGAATCCTCCTGAGCAACAAATCAGAGCCAGCTACTGCCAAACAGCACAAATTTGAAGATTTATTAGCCGGCAAGAAGTATAAAATACAAGTTTTGACAGTCAGTGGCGGGCTCTTCAGTAAACGAGCAGAAACTGTTGGTCGAACAGGTAATTAGAACATCTTGGTTTATTTATAGCTCCCTCAGTTAGATATTGTCAAATACATGAATCATCTGTATATCCTGATTCTGGAAAGATTCCAGTAGGAACAGATGCCAGATATTTATGCATCATTTTTCCTGATATGTGCTTGGTATGTGAATCTGAAATTCATTAGCATAATAATGTGGCCATAGTTCATAATAAAGAAATTGAACCAAAGTGCTGAATGCTTCCCCCAGTCTATCTGTTATGGAACCACATGAATGCTTTATTGTCATCAAGGTTTTTTTACACAATCTCAAGGCTCTTAGCGTAGGATTTGATGTTAATACTCACTTCTAAACTTAGAGCCAAGTCTTGCAGTCTTTACTCAATTAAAGCTGCTTGTAGAAACTAATGGACAGTTCTGTGTGAGCACAGACTGAAGAACCAGGCCTGCTGGGAAATACAAATATTGTATTGGAGAGACTCAGCGGCACCTCATAAATGCCTCCCTGTTGCTTCTGAAAGTTGATGTTGACATTACTTAACTACTTGTGGCTTAATTGAAATGTATTCCAGCCATGAGTTGTTACTTTATTAAAGGTTCAGCATAGTGGCTAGACACTTTGATATTTATTCTTGCATTTATCCTTCTTTTTCAGTTCCAGCAGCTGTCACAAATCTGAAGGTCACAGAGAACACCACTGACCGACTGTCCTTCAGCTGGACCACCTCACAAGGGGAGCTTGATTCATATGACATCTTCCTATACAACCCAGACAAGTCCCTTCATGACAGGATTTCAGGAGAGCAGCACCTCCAGCAATGTTCGTTCCAGAACCTGCGGCAAGGCAGGATATATCGAATGGTGATTGTTACCCATAGCGGAGACCTGACTAATGAGTCATCTGTCTTTGGAAGAACAGGCAAGAACATCTAAAGAAAATCATCCGTCTCTAGTGTGCTGCTAATGAGGGACACCAGTGAACTGGTCTGAGCCTGATGTTCCTGCTAGTTTAGAGCAACTATTAGAAATATCAAAATTGGCTCTTGTACATGAAAAGCATTAGATAAAGAAGGTAAATTCTGAATGATGTGGTTACAAGAGGAAAAATGAAGCAATAGTTCCCAGGTGCTTAGGTCAGGAGAAGGACATCCCAATGTATGCTGCATAGGACTTAAAGGAAAACAGCTGTCTCCCATCCTAAAAGCAATATTGGTCTGTGAGTGGAAAAGAGAAGAGGCAAAGCAAGTAGGGTTAATGGGGTAGGCAACCTACCAGTGAAACAAAACTTATTTCCCATGGGGACCTCTGGCTGCAGCTCCATGTTTGTTTAGCCACATGTGGGAAGCAGAGTTTCCTAAGGAGTTCTCGCAGCCCTGACACTCCATGAAACCTTTCTTTATAATCTGAGGCACCATATAGTAACTGCTGTATACCACTGCCTCTACGCTTTCTTCAGCTACCTCAGAATTGGATGACGGGGAAAAAGCTGCTTAACATTTGCAAAACTATCTATTATAAGCATTTCAGCCTCTTTTGGGGACAGTGGCAGTTCAAAATAGGAAACTTGAAATATACTTCCTGATGCTTCCTGGCTTTTTGGCCTGCTATGGTGGCTGTCTAGTTTATTACGTGGCTCTCACTACAGGATAAGTGTAAGGTCTGCTTGTCCTTGTTGCTTCTCCTCACCCTAAAGATGTTTTACGTGAAGTAATGTTCATCTCCTTTTTTTCAGTACCAGCTCCAGTTGTTGGACTTAAGGCATCCAACCGAAACATGACAGACAGTCTGTGGTTCACCTGGGGTCCAGCAGCAGGAGATGTTGACTTCTATGAGCTGAATCTTTACAACCCAAATGGGACACAAAAAGAAACATGGCACAGGAAAGACCTGGAAGAATGGCATTTCCAGGGGCTCATTCCTGGCAGAAAGTACACTCTGGTTGTGGTGACTCACAGTGGTGACTTGACCAACACAGCAAACGCTGAAGGAAGAACAGGTAAAAGACACAAATGCTTTGGGATTTTTGTTTAGTCCATCTGTCAGAATTCATATTAGTTCACAACTATGCAACAGGCTTGTTCTGAGGGAGGATTTATTATAAGAGTCACTGAAGGTATAAAGATAAAGGATATCCTTAAGGGTATTAAACCAGTGGAGCATGATTTTGTTCAGCACTGTTTTTCTTTCAAAGGCTCAGGGATATGTAATGTCTGAAATGTATGTATGAAAGTCACCACCATCAGCACTGATGCAGTAACTGGCTGGGTACATGGGATAATAGAAACCACTTTGTGATGCATGAAGAAAATAATGCATGTTTGATCTTATTTGTCTTGTGTAAAAATTTGTTAAGAATCTCTTCTTTTTCCCCTTTTTCCCCCCCTTTCCATGTAGCACCCAGCCCTCCTAACACTGTATCCTTTACTGATGTTGCAAACACTTCCTTATCAATCACTTGGCTGGGTCCTCCAGACTGGACAGACTATGACGATTTTGAGTTGCAGTGGCTTCCAAAAGATCCCCTCACAGTATTCAATCCCTACAGCAGCAGCAAATCAAAAGTACGCATCATCTATGGCCTGCGACCGGGAAGACTCTATGAGTTCAGTGTCAGAACAGTCAGTGGTGACAGCTGGAAAACGTACAGTCAGTCACAGTCTGCAAGTGTGAGAACGAGTAAGTAACATTTTCCACTGCACCGTAACACTCAGCTGGAGAAGATGCAAAACTGTTAAATCTTACCAATTCCTTTCACAGTCAGTAATTTCCATTAATAAATTCATGAATGACTGGCAATGAATTCAGCTAGACTGTAAGCCCTTGCTGTGTGCAAGGTCAACTGTTTAAAGATTGAAAATGGATATACATTTGCAATTTTCACATCCAAAATGGGGTTGTTTGGTTGCAGAGCTTGAATCAGATCAGTTTCAGCGGTAAAATAAGGCTGAATATCCAAACTTCTCTGACATTAGGGACAGTAGGATATTGAAATAATCAAAATGTTTCTGAATGATTAGACAGGAAGGATAAAATGAGACTCTGCTGTACTAGATTTGAAACTGGAATCAGAGTGTTTCACTACTCTGCATTTCTGTCAGTGTCTGTGGATCCACATCATCTCTAGCAAGCCCAGTTAGCAGGCTGATTTGAAAAAGTGACCTGGAATTATAAAAATAACTGTGCCTTGGCAAACCATCATGTCACTTGCGATAGGATTCAGCTCCAAATTGGCATTTATGTTCAGTAAGTTGAGTAGCTCTTTAGACTTCATTCAGCATATTAATTAAAATGAGAGCGTATCTACCTCTTTCATCCATATGTCACCACTTAAATGTAGGTATCTGCCATCTGAAAGTGAAATCCTATCCTTGTTATGTGTCGCATGTTATAAATGGTGCTCCAGTATTGCATGGATAAAGCACATCTCTGTTGTATGCTTTAGTAATATGGACACACCACATGCTGTCCAGAAAACCAGATCAGTCATGAGATGACAATATTAGTATTCACAGAATCACAGAATCAC